CCTCACTTGGGCGTTATTTTGGAACAAAATCCTCAACCTCATTGAATCTTGGGTGTTGATAGGTTGAAGAACCAGATCTACCAAAATGGATGAATGATGTTGACGATATTTGAAACCCTAGTTTCATCTGATACATCTCCTCCATCTTCATCTTATCCTCTTCTCACTTGTGCTACATGTTGTTGGAGAATGATCTACATATCATTTCTCTAAATATATTATACATAAATTGCTATTGACCGGCCTCAAAATAGGTGTGACTTCTACATAAGTCTACTTACGATTGCTTAACATAGCGCTAAATTTTGTCCCGATTCGAGAAATGATCATTCGTAGCCCAAACCTATGTTTGCAAGCCCAAGTATGTTTAATTTGAAACCTTCGATCCAATAACTTTGAGGTTTATTGTTAGGAGGCTTTAATCTTATCAATCCTCTAATGAACCTTCATAAACTTTTGTCTAAGCAAATCATTTAAACATCGTTGATCATATGTTGTCGCCTCGAGAACTTGAAATGAATGATATACTTGATAAAAACCAAATGAGACTTGTTGTTGAGAAACTTTGATTTTATCAATCTTCTAATGAGTTTTAAAATGCAAGTTTCAAAATGATCATTCAACTAACCTCTAACTTTTAATTTACTAACAATTGACATTTACTTTATGCTTTTATTTTATGTCTTTACTTTTATGCACCATTTACTTTAGCATTTACATTTCATGCTATTTTTATCTTTGCTTACTTGAGCATTTATCTTTATGTCATTTTTATTTTGCTCACTTGAACTTTCATTTTCTTTTTTAAGACACTTAATAATCAACATGAACAATAAAAAAAATGTAAGGTTACTTGGACTATTTGCTTGCTATCTTTGACATTATGGGATTGTGAACCTCTTGGACTTAGGATTAGAAGTCTTGATACTCTTTGGTACCTTGTGACTCTGTTGTTATTTTGTCTGGAGTTCTTGGGGTTTACCCTAAGACATTGGGTTGATTTTCTTTGTGTGCAGATTTTTCTGATTATGTGTTTTATCTGTGATTGGGAATTCCTCTGTATACAGTTGTTACTCTGTCCAATTTTTTAGAAGACTTAATTCATCTGAAGCTTAGTACTCTTAAGAGATTTAGTATCTTTGCTTGCTTGATTTCAATCTAAGGGATGGAAATTCTACATTGACTCTTTGTGTCAAGTGTTGATTTCTTGTTGGTTAGACGGTTATTTTCTTTAGCTTTTACCTTATGTTTTAGGATAGTCTCTTCATCTCCTCTAATCTTCTTTAATTTCAAAAATCTTCTCCCTCCTTTTCAAAACTCTTCTTGTTTTCTAACTTGAACCGCTTTCACAATAAACTTGGACATATGTCCATACATTTTCAAAAATATTTTATTAAATCAAATTTTAACCAACTTAATCATACTTCGACATTTTTTTGTGAGAAGACTAAAAGTTAATCAACCTCATTCAAACTATTTGGCCACTTTGGCTTTTTATGTTAAAATTTTCTTTAAAAATTAGACTCTTGTCAATCCTTGTGGTGATGCGAGCTACTATTCTTCTACGATATATAGTGAAGTGAGATATTTTTTCACTTGGGTGTCGAGTGAGACTTTGTTGATTTTAAAATCCAAGCTATATCCTCAACTTTGAGATGACGCAAATTCTTCTTTCTCGTAATCGTGGATAGTAAGTAAGTTCTTCCAATCGGATATGACGATGATGTCTCGTCTCTTAAAATTAACCAACACATCTGTGTTTTAAATTTTTAAAGAAGAACTACGGGTACCCTGATCCCCTTTTGAACGGAAGGTAGTGCGTAGGCACTAAAGGTTCGCAACCGCGGCGGATGAAAAAATTATAAAAAATACTTCTCTTCTCACCTCTACCATCTATTTTTGTATACAACACATATAGCCAAAATACACAAATTTTCAAAGAGATTCCTGCGAAGTACCATAGATGTTTAGGGTGCTAATACATTCCTTTTGCATAATCAACCCCCGTACCTAGATTATCTTCCCCTCTTTTTTGGGTTATTCGCTTTTTTACCATTTCTCTGAAAACAATGAAGCGTAGTGGCAATTTTTATTTGATATGTGTGAGTTAAGTCAATCCAATGACTTAGTCTCAACATTTCTACTGCTACAGGTTGTTCTCGACATCCCTATCCTCTAGAGGGTTAACCCTCGGAGATTGTTAGGCGCTGGGGCCGCTGGTGCTGGTAGTGCACCAAAAAAGTCAGCCATTCTACCCATTTATCAAGCCAGTTGCTGATAAAATTGGTTCATGTTTTCTATTATTGGCTTAAACACAGTGCTTATCTACTGTGTGAGCATGTTAACCATATCATAGTTACTCTCGTCCATTTGTTGTCTCATGATTTGAACAGAGTTGTTGGTCAAAGGTAACATAATTGGAGGGAAATATCCCATACCTCTGGGCGGTTGTCCCGCTCAACCAAAATTGCCCATAGTAGACCCTGCGGGCCAATATGGATTAAAGGGTGATGACGTAGCCATCACATTTTCTGAGTACACTGATGCACTAGGAGGTATGCTTGCCATCATAGTAGTTGGTATGTGTCGCTATGTAGCAAAAATGTAGTGGTAAAAATTTGAGATTAAATCATTAATTGACTTAACTCATACAATTAAGTCGTCACTGCACTTTATTGTTTCCGAAGGGAAAATGGGAAAAGAACGAATAAAACCCAAAATGAAATAAAATAGAGATCAAAGTACGGAGATCGATTATGTAAAAGGAACGTATTAGCACTCTAAACATCTACGGTACTCCGTAGAATCCACTTTGTTTGTTTTAAATTAAAGAGTGTGTTATCTAAAGCTTAAACTCTACTGCGGTTGTGAATCTTTGTGCTTATGTACCTCCTTCGTGCAATAAGGGATCAGGACACTCGTAGTTCTTCTAAAAAAGCACAACTGAATGTGTTGATTGATTTTAAAAGAAGAGACAAATCATCATTTTTATGGAGAAGACTCGCCTAATCAACCACAAGGTATAAGAAAGAAAGATTACGCACCAACATGAGAGAGGGTTTGAGAACATCTCTAGTACTCAAGTGAAAAAGTCGACAACCATGAAAATAGAGCAATAACATCTCTATTATAAATGAATCATGTCTAATCTGAAGAAAAAAAATTTAAAGGATAAAAGGTGCTCGAGCACACAAAAAGGTTTGAATGAGTTGAATATTTTTTAGTCTTTTTGAAAAGGTTAAAATATGCTTATGTGGTTTAGCATTTATTTAAAAAGAAGTTTGAAAAAGTCACTTGACAAGGTCAAGGTTTATTATGAAAATGGTTAAAGTTTAGAAAAACAAAGAATGTTTTGAAAAAGATGAGAAGGTTTTGAAAATTAAAGAAGAATGGGAGGAGATGAAGAGAATATCCTATGTACATAAAGGTAAAAGATAAAGGTAAGGAAAATTTGATCGAACAGAAGCTCATACTTGATATAAAGAAACCAATATAGTGTTTCCATCTCTTTGGATTTAAAGGCACAAGCAGATAAATAAGCCAAGAGTATGTCAAACCTCAGGTAAAAATAAATCACAAGCCAACAACATCAAAGAAATTCAAGGCATCAGATAATACTCAAAGCAACGGATAAAGTGCATCAGGTGAAAATAAATCACAAGTCGGGAAAATACATCAGGTAAGCTAGGTAAGCTCAAGGTATCAGATAAAGTTCAAAGTATCATCAAGATATCGAATAAGAATCTCTGCATCAGATGAAATTCCTAACAAACAGACAAACCATGATAGCATAGAAATAATCCAAACATCTCATGTGAAATAAAGAATCAAGTCTTAGTAAATTATAAACATGTACCAAAGCTAAAACAAAACAAAGGAAATATAGAATGGATGCTTTATTAATTAACTAACTTAAAAAGTTGATTAAGTTAATTAATTAAGTTAAGAAAAATTAATTAGATGAAACTAATTAATTTTTAATAACGAAATTAAATAACTAAATTGATTTTTAGTTAATTTACTAAAACAACAAAGTAATGCTAAGATGAAATGAAAGTTTAATCGATTAACCAAGAGTTGATTAACTTAATTAATCGAGTTAAGAAAAATAGATTAGTAAACTAATTCATTTTTAATAACAAAATCAAGTAAATAAATCAAAACTTGATTAATCAATCAAAAGCGAATAAAAGGTGTAAAGAGGAAGTGGTTACTTGATCCGTCTTGAGAAACTTGCACAAACCAACAAACAAGTTAGTAATCACAAGAGAATTGAAACCAAATAAAACTTGTATCGAAATGCATGAATGGACATCAAGTTATTAAACAGTTATCATGATTATCGATTCACAAATGAAAACGGGAACCAAGAATTCAAGTTCTTATCCAATTCAAGTTCATGATATGAAAAATCAAACTCAAGGCAAGCTAAAATCAACCGAACCAAATTCCGGACAGCAACTATGTAATCCTAATAATGCTCAATAAAACTCATCTCAAACAAGTGTTTCACGCAGGCGGAATACACAACGATACCTAACCAAAATGTCTCATTCGAATTCAAACAAATGTAACCAAAACATCAACAAAACTCTTCAAATTAAATCGAATAAACATGACACAATCTTAACTTCAAATTCAAGATTTAAACAATTAAACTGGATCCCGGAAAGCCACTAGAACAAGAACAAATTGACACTTAAAACTCATCTCAATCATGGGAACATCGAAACAAAGCCATAACCGAATAAATCTTTCAAATTCCAACCAAATTGCCCGAAACGACATTAGTATCTCGTTCACAAAGACTCAAACAATAAAACACAATAATAAAACCTCACTTAAAATTAATGTCGTCATAAATTCAACAGTTCGAAAACGAACCGAGTGAACTGTGCTTTTCAACTCGAATTCAAAGCAACGATACAAAGCAAACCGGCTACCCAAATGGTTTCTCGATCATGTCCTACGCGAATAAACGCGGCGATATCAAACCTTCATCAAAACTAAACACATATATCAATCTTTACTCATAATTAAGATCAACAAAGTGATGCTATCATTCGAGTTTCAAACACAAGCAACACAGTTTGAACTTCAATTGAGAATAGCAATAAAAGCAGTGTCAAAACCAACATTCTCGTTCAAATTCGCCTAAAAAATGACAACAAAGCTGCCCCTATAGTTTCTCGGTCATAATCTACGCGAATAAATGCGGCATTGACATTAAACCATCATCGAAACTAATATGGAATCCTCATCACAAATTCAAGTGAAAGTAAAACAAAAAAAAACGTTACACGAATAAATGCGGCATTGACATTAAACCATCATCGAAACTAACACGGAATCCTCATCACAAATTCAAGTGAAAGTAAAACAAAAACAAAAAAACGTTAACTTGATATATATTTCCAATTTCAGCGCAAACGAAACATAACGTTTCCACAGAACATATCCACCATAAAATCAAAATGAATAACACTAACAAGCGCTTACCACTCACAATCGTAACACAGAATCCAACAAAACTTCGACACAATTAGACGCGGACAGCAACATTAAATCACAATTGAATCACTTAGAATTTATCACAAGTTTCAGCATAACACAACAAAATGTTTTCCGATTTCGCAGCATAACATTCCTAACTCAAATGAGAAACCGATCAAATCAGCATTATCATTAGAAAATAACACAAACAGCGTAGCAATTCTATTTGAATAAGATCAATCCTAACACACATCAAACTGTTTCATCAGAATTTATCAAAGGATTTTCACAGAATTTATCACCAAATCGATTTTCATGGCACACAATCAAAATGATATTTCAACAGAGTCATAACACGTTAGCTCAAACATCGCAACCGAAACGAAATTGAAACTCACCGGTAAAGTTGGCAGTTTGATGCGCGTCTGAAGTTGGAGATCCGACGGTTTGGAACGTTCGGAAGTTGAATATTGGAGATGACAGGCAGATATCTCGCGGTAGAGAGCGGATGGAAATGGAGGTTGGGTAGCAGTGGAATTCGGTGAAGGAGATGGACTGAGTTGCTTCAGAAGGTGGATTGATGGTGAGATATGAAGAAGATTGAAGTGAGTATTGTTAATGGTGGTCAGTGAGGATGAAAGCGCTGGCAGGGAGACAGAGGCGGGAGGTCAGTGAACAGGGTAATAAGCTTCTATGAAAGGAAGAAAATAGATTTCGATCTTCAATCTCAAACTGCTATCTCCTCCCCGTTTATCGATCCAAACCCTTTCCTTATAACTTCCAAACCTAAAGGTCTTAACCATTGACCAATAAGTCCCTTATGCTGGATATTTTGTTAGGATATATATAAAACTAAAAACTAATTAAAACAGTAACTAAATTAGTAAATAACTATTAATAAACAAAATTATACTATTTTATGTAAATGACCATACTAAAATATCTTTTCATATATTTTTTTTAAAAAAAATTAAAATAAAATCTAATTTGAATAATGAATAAAAAAGAAAAAGCATATATAATTTTTTTATATTTTCTTAATTATAAAATAAAGAATAAAAAATAAAACTTAAGAGAAGATTGGATAAATATTGAGATTGAGATAAAATGATTAAAATGCGCGTAAAATATAGTGATGCGAATGAAAATTAAATTTTATGATTTTGGATATTGATCTTATCGGTTGATCAGAACTTGTAAGGTGGTCGGATGATGATCTGTAATCGGGCAGTGATGTCGAGGAGGAGAAAAGGGGGTTGTACTTGGCCCTCAAAGGTGTGAGGGTTTATATAATGCCTTTGGCGCATGGTCATTGGTTCCTGATTTTACGCCTGGATATGCAAGTTCGTAAAATCACGTAACTGTCAAGACTTGGTCAAACTGGACAGATGTGTCTGTAACTAGCCGTTGGTTTCGAAGAGGAGGCCAGTTACGGGCATCTCTCTGGTCGATTCCTGGTGGCTGTTGACTGAAGATTTTGATGATACAGTTCGAAATGAAGCAATATGGATGTTTCGTTGGAATAAAGCAAAATGTTACAGTTCGGAATGGTAGAAGCGGTTCTTCAAACGGACATGTCAAAGCTCGGAGCTTCGAGTGACAGTGGTGAAGATATATTTAAAAGAAGCCTCGAAGTGGTAACGAGACTGTGTCTGAGAAATGAGTTCGAAGCGAAGATTGCCAAAGCATTTGAAATTCAAACGCGAGCGGGATGTTGGAATTCAAATATATATGCGCTGGAGCGTTCGAAGACGCGTGGAAGCTAGAGAGGAGCAGTGCTCTGCATGTTCCGAACGTGGAAGAATCTTATAAGCAAGACCGTTATGGTCGAAGTAGTATAAATAGAAGTCTTAGTATTAGGATTTCGTGTGTCATATCTATTGTACAAAATTCAGTAAACATTCAAAATACCACATGGATAGGAAAACGAATGCTCGAACAATGTACGTATGATAACACCAAACATTTACAATTCAGTAAAACTCTTTATCTTTTCCAGTTTATCTTCCATTTTCATGTCAATGTCATTCAAATACCTTTGCATTCAAACTCATTTACTTATTTCTTGCATTTAAACGTTTTCTTCTATTCGAATCCTTTACATTTCAGAAACTCTTTTACATTTCATGCTTTTATATTCATGCTTTTTACATTAAAGTCTTTACATTCAAAGTCATTTACTTATTTCTGCATGTAAACATTTCTTTGCAATCGAATCTTTATTCATACAATTCAGCTTCGTATTTCTTTACTTGATCACGTCATTAGATTCTTTTAACATGGTAATCGAAGTGAATTGAACGTCTATAAAACATTCTAAATACAAATCCTAACTATGAATATCAGTTTTGCAATTAGATTTACCCAAACGACCAATACCCCATAGGATCAATCTAGTTGATCCTGCAAGTTACCAGAGAGATTAAATAACAGTCATTAAGATTATTTGATAGTTTGGAGGACTAGCGGTTGTTTACCAGAAATCACTGTAAACAAGTTGGCACGCCCAGTGGGACGAGTCATTGGTCGTTACAAATTTAAAACAAAGTAAAGATTGTTAGGATATAATCATTGTAAAAGTTCTTTCTGAGTGATAAGTTCGTTGTTATATGAACCTTAGAAGTGGTAGAATAACCAATAGCAACCAACCCTTACCCAGAAGAAAACGTAATAACAAGATGTCTAATCCAAACAATCAACAAGGGGAACAAAATGCCCCACATGGAACATGCACTAATATGTCAGCTTCGACGGGAACGTCTAATGCGATCCCTTTGAGCGTACAGTCGGTTGCATCCTCTACCAGTAGTGTAGCCACGAATGGAACAAGTGACATGTCGACTAACAGTTCGATCCTAGGAAATATAGGAACCACTGGTTATCATGGGAGATTCGTCCCACCATCAGGGACACAAACCCATTTCGCCACCCCACTAACTAGACCACTCGGTTTCGATGGTAACAGACACATAAATCCCTCTTATGGGATGCCAACATCTTTTATGGCGGGTCTGCACACTTCGACATCGAATATGTCACCACAATTAGGGTCTGGATCTGGGGCTAATCAATTTATGACAAATAACCAAGGGTCAGTAGGTTATAGTACATTGCCTATCTTAACCACAGAAAATCATATGGCTTTTAGGCAATTAATGGATGATAGTAACCATAATATGATAGGAGTGTTAGCACAAACTATGCAAGAGATCTTTGCCTCAATAGTACAAAACGTAACTGTAACCAACAGAGAAAACGCGGATAACATGAGTCGAATAGCAGATTTTTTCGCTCCGCCAGAAAGGCGTAGGCAGAATCAGGTGGGGGTTCGAGCAAACATACCTATCATAGAACAAATTGCTGATGACCCACCCTATAGACTAGCCAGAGAGGGGGTTAACTTGGGGGAAAGACCACAAAGGTTAGAAGCCCCAGTGATTCAAGACCCACAAAGGGGAATTATAGAACCATGGGCAAGGGTCGAAAGGTTAGAAGTCCCAGAGTTTCGAGAAGAACAACCTAGAGGAGTTGTCATGGTGGGACGACACCAAGATGCTGATGAAGTCGTTCATAGAATTCGAAATGACAACATCTTGGCAGAAAATAATTTAACCACCATGATAGAAAGGATTATGGCTCAAAACGGTCTCAATACAGGTATTAGAAGGCCAAACTATTCCTCTCCCATAATAGATTATGTGATGCACACTAATTTACCAAGGGGATATAAAGTCCATAAATTTACAAAGTTCGCTGGAGACACCAATGAATCAACAGTCGAACACATAGCCAGGTATCTAACCGAAGCAGGAGATATAGCAAATAATGAAGACCTTAGGATTAAATATTTCCCAAGTTCCTTAACTAAGAACGCTTTTACATGGTTCACCACTTTGCCTCCTGGGTCCATAGATACTTGGGCTCTGTTGGAGAGGTTATTTCATGAACAATTCTACATGGGGAAATCTAAAATAAGCCTGAAAGAGTTAGCCAGTGTCAAGAGGAAGTTTACTGAACCCATAGATGATTATCTGAATAGGTTCAGACTCTTGAAATCTAGATGTTTCACAGTAGTTCCTGAACATGAGTTAGTCGAAATGGCTGCTGGTGGCCTAGATTACTCCATTCGAAAGAAATTAGATACACAACACTTGAGGGATATGGCCCAACTAGCAGACAGGGTTCGACAAGTCGAAAGACTAAAAGCCGAGAAGGCCAGAGTTTTTAAAAATAACAAGAAAGAAAGGGTCTCCTATGTTGGAACTGAGGAAGCAGAAGATTACCCTGAGTTCGAAGAGGTCGAAATTGATCTCGCTGAATTGAAACAGGCTCCCCCTTATTCCTGTAAATTACTAGTTCCCACAAAAGGGAAAGAAATTATTGAAAATGAGAAAAGTGACAAATTCCCAAAGAAGGTGTATACTTTCGATGTGACAAAGTGTGACAAGATTTTTGATTTACTTGTCAAAGATGGCCAACTAATTGTGCCATCGAATGTCAAAATACCTCCTTTAGATCAAAGAAAGAAAAGAGGATTTTGTAAGTATCACAGTTTCCTAGGCCACAAAACCTCACAGTGTTTTCTTTTCAGGGATCTGATTCAAAATGCAATTAAGGATGGCAGATTGAAATTCGCTGACAAACCAAAAATGAAAGTAGATGAAGACCCTTTGGATGTTGCAGACACCAATTACTCCGAGCCTACATGCATTAGAGAAATCAATATAGTGGAAGCAGATCAAGATGACACTCCATTAGGAGAAAAAAGCACTGAGAATAAAAATTGGGTGTTAGTCGAAGTCAACAAGGGGGTCACTGAGGACGTCCACAAGCAACTAGAGGCTTCGATCGAAGCAGTACCTTTGGCAGTTTCGAAAGAGATCCAGGCTACTGAAGGCCAGGAGAACCAAAAGCAAGAGTTGACACAGGTTACTGAAGGCCTGAGGCTAAAATTGGAGAAAGTCCAGATCACAAAGCCAGCCTTCCCTCAGAAAGAAATATGGGATACTTTGGGAGAGCCCAGTGGAAAGTTTGACTACTTGGTGAAGTATTCCGCCCCAGAAAGTTCAAAAATCCAAATCGAAGATGTCAAACCTACAGGATGGGGAGATGATGACATAAAGGGGGAGGATGTAGATGTCAACATGGTGGATATGGAGAGACCTCATTCTGAAATAGAGGAGATGGAGAGATACTTAGAAAAAGAAAAATACAAAATGGAGGATAGTTATGCTAGGGATGCCAGTTTTAAAGACTACCTCATGTTGTGCCACAAATGAGATGCTGAAATGATACTATGCCCTAGATGCAGCATCATCTGCAACCAGAGAATTGCTGCAAACTTCGAGAGGAAACAAAGGGCACGAACTGGCATCAATTGGCGCCAGGATAACCAGTTATTCAGATGTTACCCTAAAGCTGGAGAAAGTTTGTTGGAGTTTTTGGTTCGCTGTCACAAAGGGGCAACCAAATTCCTAGTATGCCCAAGATGTTCTGCAGTGTACGATCAAAATATGGCCGGAGCCTTCGAAACAATCCCTTTCACCCCATGCTGGAACCACAAAGAGACTGGTCAGATGAGCCAACGTTTCGAGAGCAACTACACTCAACGAAGGCCTGATAGTCCTCATCCCAAAGGCGCTCGAAGGGTAACGTTCAAAATCCCTGCTGAAATACCAACAGACAAATGGCTTCAAGTCAGAACTGACAAGGGCAAAGACAAATGGAGAAACAATGAACGAAACGCACGCCACGCCATGACATATAGAAGGCAGTTCAATATGGCGAAGAGGGAAGAAGTGAG